CACCTCAGGGCAATATTGCTCTCGCACAGCTCCCATTCACATAATTTTTTTAGTGACTCCTTTGTTGCTGATTGCTGATGCCTTACTGTGCTGTCTCCAGCTATGGCTGCAGCTGCAAACAAAAAACGACAACCTCGTAGATAATTTAGGGGGGTTGTTAAAATTGGAGTAGTATGGTAACATAAGCTAGGCTGTGTTGTATTAGATCTATTATTTTGAAGAATTCTACTGCTTCAGTCTTTGATTTTAAAAAAACGAAAATTAAAGGGACTTGTTATTCAAACCAGGAAATTGTGGGTGAGTCTTTTAAAAAGAAAAGAAAAGAAACATCTTTGCAAGAGGAGCAGGGATTAGCAAAAAGTGAAGATTAAAGGCACAGTTAAAATGAGCAAATAGCTCAGAATTCAAAGGAGACAAAGTGGGTGGTAAATGAGGGAAATGTGTAGGAGTGTCAGAGTCATGGGAAGGAAGATGTACCACTTCATTAAATCCAGAGCATCCTACTTGGCTCAGATCACCAGATGGACACCTAATGCAAGTACACCCAGACCACAACTGCTGTTAGGGAAATGTGCAAACAAGGGCTAAATCTCCCCTGCCTGTGCAGAATTGTAGAAATTTAGGATTAAAGGGACCAGGTATGGGTCATCCAGATGTGCTCCTGTTGCAAGAGATGATGACAATACAGGATGTATGCATTTAACTTTTTATTTCTTTATATAAATAAATCTAGATAACAGGACTCAAGGTGGCTTTTATTTATTTACAATGTTTCTATTATGCCCTTCTTTACCGACTGCATTCAGGTTTCTTAGTTTTGGCATTATTGGGGATTCTTGTGAGGGAATTTCTGACTTTTCCCTGGTTTAGGTTATTTTGGGCGCAGACCTTCTCGGGGCCTTCTGCTGCTCATGCCCACTAGCTTACAAAAAAGAAGGCAAATAATAAATGTAAATAAAACAGAATCACGTTAATTGTGTCTCCACTGGATCCAGAGTGCTGTTCTTTCATGGCTTTTTGTTTCTTTGGGCTATTGGAGAAAATGATCAGTACAGAAGCACAGCCTTTTGCGTTGTGGCTGCTTCCCAAGGCAGGCTGGTAAAACACACAATTCCCTTGTTAAATGCAGCTAAGTCTAACTTCCAGGCATCACAGACAAGGAGTTCTTAGTAAGACATCATAAACTCTTCAGAAGGGCATGTCACAGGTCTTGCCCGCTTGCTGTGGTGTTTGTTGCTGGTATGATATTTACAGAGTTAGGGATTTCACTGAAGTATAGAATTGATAGTCCTGATTATATGCTTAGGTTGGTAGCAGTTAGAGCTTTCCTATTAGTTCTTTTGGGTACTACTTCAATGGAGTTCACTTTGAAATAAATTTGTATTTACTTCTATATGATTGATTGATTGAGCTGAGTTTGTGATCATTGGGTATATTGGGGAAATGAATTAATTTATAATTATAAATTCAAATTTCATATCTTTTAAATTAATTAATTGTGTTGATTGGTGGGTGCATTGGGGAATTCAGTGGATTTATATTTATGAATAAATACAGTTCTGTTTAATACCTTTTGGAATTAATTCATTGGGTTATTGATTGGTAGGTACACTGGGAAAATAAATTATTTGTGTTGCCTTCTTTGATTCTGGCACATTTGCGAATTTGTTTAAAAGTGCTACCAAGTTCATAATAGTGTTTTGTCATAGAGGCTTCTCAATTAATGGAACCTAAAATTGCAACAATTATCAGGGGGGGGTGTCCATGATTTTTTCTGTGGTTATGGGGGGGGTCCTCATCCTCATAAAGGTTGGCAACCACTGGTCTAACCTTCTTGTGAGAGTGAAGCAGATGCTTCCCACCATATATGCTATGATACAAATGATAAAGAAATAATAAATAATTCTAATGGTTTGATTAAAAAACCAATGGTTGTCATAAGCCAAGCCACATCAGTTCCACATATGATGTCAAAACAAGGTACAATTTGCTGAAGGGGCTGTGTGATATCTTCTCCAAAGGACAACATGAAATTGTCAGGTAGTTCTTAATTCTTGAAACTTTGTTCACTTTTAAGTAATTAGAGAAATAGACAGACTAATGCAGCCTCACTGTCAAATTTTGGGATGAAAGTCGGCAGTGAGGAAGAAAAACATGACTCAGAAACTGAATGGATAGGCTTTGCTGTAAATAAATATCTGCGTCATCCCACCATTTAATTTTTGTAGGGATGTTTTAGCATATAAAATAATGTGCCATTTCAGGTTAATTTCTGCCCTGCAGAACTTCATGAAACACTGTAATGTTGACTAATAACAGCAATTTGTCATGTGAACCTATCAAAATAATTGGCTGTGCTTCATCGGCAACGGCTGATCAGTCTGCGTAGCAATACCTTCTGTCACCAAGATGATATACAGTAAGTGCACAGATGTTATTTACGGTATCTCACTAATTCTTCTTGTATTATGGGCTGTATTTCTTCTTGTGCACAATCAGCTTGCCATTTTTAAAATGAGCCCTGCACAAGATCTTCAAATCATTTCCAAATTTATGGGAATAAGTGGGTACTTGAACGATGCTTTAGATGCTTTAAATCATGTTTCCTTTTGAAGTGTGTGGGAATTAGCAAAGTTTTTAATAATGTTGGATTGAGTGATAGGGACAAAAGACCCTTCTGAAATGTAGGTAGTTCCTATTCTAATTATAAAAGCTTCTTAACAGAATGCACAGAAACACACAGTTGCAGCAGTGTCTGGCAAATTATTGAACCCGAAGGCTAGAGCCAACTTGTATACTTTATACATACAGAATTAACATCCTTTGTACAGTGTAGATGCGAGTTTTGCAAGCACTAGAGTGTGCAAGCAATACTATTCTATTCCAACAGTGAGTTGAAAGTCCTTGCCTAGTCTGCACTTGTATTGGAATGAGATTTTGGAATCTTGAGGTGATTAAATGGATTTAAAATAGCAGGTGGGGGTATTCCCCTTTTGAATGCTACCCTGCATTTTAAAAAATCCCAGCAATTAAAATACAAGCAACACAGCAGGGTGGGAGGGGGGCGAAGTTTCCATCCAGGAAAGGGGACAAAGAGAAATGGCCAGATGAAGTCGCTTCCTTCCCCCTAACAATTGTTATGCCTTGTGTCCTGGGACTCAACCAAGGGAAACCAGAAAACATCCATAGAAGTATAAATGACAAGACAATCTGGTTTGGCTATGGTTTGAACTGTTTCAAAAATAGCTTCAAAAATAGTCCCACACTAAAGGGGGAATTATGAATCTGACCACCTTGGTGCACCCTTTGCAAGAAGTGAGAGAAGGACAGATAACAGGAGTTTTATCAGTGAATGTCATTTTTTCCATTTTTCTTCTTTTAAAGCAGGAATGAAAAATGTCTATATTTTGTAGTCCATTTTACTCTCCAGACCAGTGGTCAGCAGGGGGCTGTCACTCATACCTTGTGGGGGGGCAGACTATATGGGGGGGGAGAATGAATTCCTTTTTTTTTTAATGATATTTATTAAAATTTCAAAAAATACAAGAATTACACAAAAACAAAAATAAAAATACAAGAAAATACAAGATACAGAAAAAAGAATAACAAAACCCTTATTAAAATATAACAAAGAAATGAAAAATAAAAAGAAACATACAAAATGAAAACAGTTAAAAACACATTAATTTTCCATAGCATATCTTCCATACACTTATTTCCCCGGACCTCCTCGTACCTCCCTTTTTTGTATTCCAGTTCAGTTTGTTAGTTCAGCAAATCCTTACCATTAAGCTTTTACCCATTTGTGAACCTTTTTTTCGTATCTCTTAAAGCATTACAGCTGGAAACCACTTAGTTTCTATCCAACATCCTTCTAAAATTCATTAATTTTACAATATTTCTGTAAATAGTCTTTAAATTTCTTCCAGTCTTCTTTCACCGACTCTTCTCCCTGGTCTCGGATTCTGCCAGTCATTTCTGCCAATTCCATGTAGTCAATCACCTTCATCTGCCATTCTTCCAGAGTGGGTAGATCTTGTATCTTCCAGTACTTTGCAATGAGTATTCTTGCTGCTGTTGTAGCATACATTAAAAAAGTTCTGTCCTTCTTTGGCACCAATTGGCCGACAATGCCTAGGAGAAAGGCCTCTGGTTTCTTCAAGAAGGTATATTTAAATACCTTTTTCAGTTCATTATATATCATTTCCCAGAAAGCCTTAATCTTTGGGCACGTCCTTTGCCCCACAAATAACCCAGAGATGCGTTTTAAATAAAAGCACACATTCTACTCATGTAAAAACACGCTGATTCCTGGACCGTCCGTGGGCCAGATTAAGAAGGCGATTGGGCCAGATTTGGCCCCTGGGCCTTAGTTTCCCTATCCATGCTCCTGACAGTGATCTGGGTAATGGGAGGTGTACTTTTTAATACAACCAATGAACTTCTTATAGTTTCTATAATAAAGTTGACACTGTCTAGGATAAAGGTGACTCTGTTATTAGAGTGTCTCCACCCTCATTGTTCTACCCGGACACTGAGGTCCAGCGCCAAGGGCCTTCTGGCAGTTCCCTCACTGCGAGAAGTGAGGTTACAGGGAACCAGGCAGAGGGCCTTCTCGGTGGTGGCGCCCGCCCTGTGGAACGCCCTCCCATCAGATGTCAAGGAAATAAGCAACTATCTGACTCTTAGAAGACATCTGAAGGCAGCCCTGTTTAGGGCAGTTTTTAATGTTTAATGCTGTATTGTGTTTTTAATATTCAGTTGGAAGCCACCCAGAGCGGCTGGGGAAACTGAGCCAGATGGGCGGGGTATAAATAATAGATGATGATGAAGATGATGATGTCAGGTATGCCAAGGCCTTCTGAGAGAGATGTGACATTAAAACATGGAATAGTTCAATTTCCTACTGCTTTTGAAAACTTTTTTATAAGGAAACTATAGGAAAACCTTTTACCAAAATGGGGAAACATTTGATTAAAATTTGGTGGGTTTATTGGGTGCTCTCTGTGGCGCAGTGGGCCAGTCCATCTGGCTGTTAACCAGAAGTTTGATGGTTCAAGCCCACCAAGGGATGGCTGTCGGCAGGATTCCTGCATTGCAGGGGAGTTGGACTAGATGACCTTTGGGTTCCCTTCCAACTCTGATTCTGTGATTCTGCTAGAGGCTAGCTATGACCCATGGACTCCCTCTTTAAAGCAGAATTGGTTTGATTAGGAGAAGTGCACAGATCTTTTGGGGAACATAAATCATGTACAATTCTTTTTTTTAATTTAATTTTCATTCTCATCTACCAACCAAATCTTGTATGTGGTTTGAAAGAAATGCTCAGTTTCTATTATTATTATTATCATTATTGCTCCTCGGGAGGTCCATTAAAATAGGATATATCATTTTCCATTTGATTAGATTGCATTTAGCTAGCAATTTCGATAGCTAGCTGTCACTTTCAAAATACTGTCAAACTCTTATCTTCTTTTATTGTTGCACTTCTGTTATTACAACAATAAGATTAGGGAAGATCAAAATATAGAAGCAGAATGTAATTGGTATCAAGCAGAATATTCTGTAATGTCATAGAATGGTGATTGATGGGTATGCAAACATAAAATGTTAATATCTTCAATTTATTGGGACGTTTGCTAGAAATTGTAACAGGTAAAAGCTAAGCCTTTCTAAGCCCTTTGGTGGAACTCAGCTTTGGCCACGTTATGCCCATTTTTGGTTTATGGCTGCCCTGAAATGCTTCCATTAAAAAGTGAAGAGTTTGTTTTCTCTTAAAGTTGCTAGAAGCCCTTATCAATGTAAAAAAAGGTAAAGAACCCCTGGACAGTTAAGTCCAGTCAAAGGCAACTATGGGGTTGCAGCAATCATCTTGCTTTTCAGGCTGAGGGAGCCAGTGTTTGTCCACAGACAGCTTTCTGGGTCATATGGCCAGCAGAACTAAACCACTTCTGGTGCAACAGTGACAAGTGCCAGAGCACACGGAAATGCTGTTTACCTTCCCGCCGGAGCGGTACCTATTTATCTACTTGCACTGGTGTGCTTTCGAACTGCTAGGTTGGCAGGAGCTGGGACTGAACAATGGGAGCTCACCCTAATTGCGTGGATTTGAACCGCCGACCTTCGGATTGGCAAGCCCAGGAGGCTCAGTGGTTTAGACACCTTTCTCAACACTAGTAATGTACAGTGGAGCTTGCTTTGTTTTTCTTTGTTAGAAAATAACTTGAAGCATCCCAGTTCTTTAGAAAAATCAATGGTGGCACCTTGTTTTAAGACAAGCAGGTATAGTCCTAGTCAAGCTCCTGAATGGGACACCAGTGGGAGCCCCAAGTAAGAACAGTATGTGAAAAATTTTTAAAGTTCAACAGTCTGATATTCTGTCTTTCTGAACACATTATATTATTTCAAGAACCTTGTGAGGCATGTTACATGGTGAGAGCTGGTGCCTTAGAAAGCCCTTTTATATGCCATGTTAGACAATTTGTCTAACTGACCTAGTGTTGTCCTCTCTGAGTAGCAGTGGCATTCCTGAGTTTGGAGCAGAGGTCTTTCACATCACCTACTGGATCCTTTTAACTGCTTCATGGCTGAGTGGGCATTTGAACCAAAGTCCCAGCCCAATCCACCACTCCACCCGAGCAGCACAACTGACTTTCATGCCAGCAACAGAATAAATTAAAATACTGTATCAAAAGACAAGACTCATGTATGTGATGGCACCTACCCTTCATTGTTGTTGTTTTTAAAAAAATTCCCTGCATATTGAAATTCGACTCTTTTTAAATTAACATTTTAATTACTGTTTATGTGTCTTGATTTCATAATGTGTGGCTAAGTTAATAAGATGAAAAATTGTGAAAGAATGGAAGTCCACTCATGGTGATGTTTCCCTGAAAAGTTTGTTCAAAAATACATTGAGTTTGATTTGTATGCCCACAGTTAATTTGCATTAAGTATGTAGAGAATTCCAAAAATGCAGCATTGGGAGCTGGAGATGAAAAGATTAGTAATAGTGAATGCAGTGCATTGCTGTGCAACTCCTGTCCACAGCCCTGTATTCATAAGGAAGCCCTTTCAAGGATTACACTGACACAGATTTTTCAAGTAATTTCTCTCATGGGATGGAAGACTTCAGCTAGCTCAAAAGGCATTTGCTCTTGAAATTCATTCCTGTGGATTTGTTTTTCAGACATATGGCTGCTCAAGTTGTAAGATCAGTTCAATATTTTGGTTACACTCTAAGAAATAGACTTTGATGCCAGTCAGGGGCTTCATTTTCCTTTTATAGTATAATAGATTACATTTCAAAAGGTGCGGTAGTACGGCAGTAAAAAAACAAAAAGAAACCCTCAGCTCACCCTGTTTCTTCCACCTAAAAATCAAAATCAAAATTGCTCTTTATATAGTGATGCACTCACACAAAGAAATATTAATGATAGTCCAGAAAGATTAATAGTCCAAAGAGATATTAATGATCATAGAATCATAGAGTTGGAAGAGACCACAAGGGCCATCGAGTCCAACCCCCTGCCAAGCAGGAAACACCATCAGAGCACTCCTGACATATGGTTGTCAAGCCTCTGCTTAAAGACCTCCAAAGAAGGAGACTCCACCACACTCCTTGGCAGCAAATTCCACTGTCGAACACCTCTTACTGTCAGGAAGTTCTTCCTAATGTTTAGGTGGAATCTTCTTTCTTGTAGTTTGGATCCATTGCTCCGTGTCCGCTTCTCTGGAGCAGCAGAAAGCAACCTTTCTCCCTCCTCTATGTGACATCCTTTTATGTATTTGAACATGGCTATCATATCACCCCTTAACCTCCTCTTCTCTAGGCTAAACATTCCCAGCTCCCTTAGCCGTTCCTCATAAGGCATCGTTTCCAGGCCTTTGACCATTTTGGTTGCCCTCCTCTGGACACGTTCCAGTTGGTCAGTGTCCTTCTTGAACTGTGGTGCCCAGAACTGGACACAGTACTCCAGGTGAGGTCTGACCAGAGCAGAATACAGTGGCACTATTACTTCCCTTGATCTAGATGCTATACTCCTATTGATGCAGCCCAGAATTGCATTGGCTTTTTAGCTGCCGCGTCACACTGTTGGCTCATGTCAAGTTTGTGGTCAACCAAGACTCCTAGATCCTTTTCACATGTACTGCTCTCAAGCCAGGTGTCCCCATCTTGTATTTGTGCCTCTCATTTTTTTGCCCAAGTGCAATACTTTACATTTCTCCCTGTTAAAATTCATCTTGTTTGTTTTGGCCCAGTTCTCTAATCTGTCAAGGTCGTTTTGAAGTGTGATCCTGTCCTCTGGGGTGTTAGCCACCCCTCCCAGTTTGGTGTCATCTGCAAATTTGATCAGGATGCCCTTGAGTCCATCATCCAAGTCGTTGATAAAGATGTTGAATAAGACCGGGCCCAAGACAGAACCCTGGGGCACCCCACTAGTCACTCTTCTCCAGGATGAAGAGGAACCATTGATGAGCACCCTTTGGGTTCGGTCAGTCAGCCAGTTACAAATCCACTGAGTGGTAGCATAGTCAAGACCGCATTTTACCAGCTTCTTTACAAGAATATCATGGGGCACCTTGTCAAATGCCTTGCTGAAATCAAGGTAGGCTACATCCACTGTGTTCCCTTCATCTACCAGGCTTGTAATTCTGTCAAAAAACGAGATCAGGTTAGTCTGACATGACTTATTTTTCAGAAATCCATGCTGACTATTGGTGATCACAGCATTCCTTTCTAGGTGCTCACAGACTGTTTGCTTAATGATCTGCTCCAGAATCTTCCCTGGTATTGATGTCAGACTGACTGGGCGGTAATTATTTGGGTCCTCTCTTTTCCCCTTTTTGAAAATAGGGACAACATTTGCCCTCCTCCAGTCTGCCGGGGCTTCGCCTGTTCTCCAGGAATTCTCAAAGATCACTGCCAGTGGTTCTGAGATCACATCTGCCAGTTCTTTTAATACTCTTGGATGCAGTTCATCTGGCCCTGGAGACTTGAATACATCTAAACTAGCCAAGTATTCTTGTACTATCGCCTTAGTTATTCTGGGCTGTGTTTCCTCTGCTGAATCATCTGCTCCAAATTCTTCAGGTCGGGCATTGTTTTCTTTATCGGAGAAGACTGAGGCAAAGAAGGCATTGAGGAGTTCAGCCCTTTCTGTGTCCCCTGTTTGAATTTCACCATCTTCTCCTCTGAGTGACCCCAGTGTTTCTTTGTTCTTCCTTTTGCTACGAACATACCCATGAAAGCCTTTTTTGTTGCTTTTAACCTCTCTAGCAAGCCTGAGTTCATTCTGTGCTTTAGCTTTTCTGACTTTGTGTCTACACGTGCTGGCTATTTGTTTGAATTCCTCTTTGGTGGTTTCCCCCCTTTTCCATTTTTTGTACACATCCTTTTTAATCTTAACTCAGTTAAAAGTTCTTTAGATAGCCACCCTGGCTTCTTTAGGCACCTTCCATGTTTCCGTCTCATTGGTATTGCCTGACTTTGTGCTTTTACTATCTCCCTCTTAACAAACTCCCAGCCATCATGAACTCCCTTTCCTTTTAGTATTAATGTCCATGGGATCTCACCCAGCACTTCCCTAAGTTTTATGAAGTTGGCTTTCTTAAAGTCAAGAAATTGAGTCCTATTATGCTTGGCTGCTCCTTTCCGCTGTATAGTAAACTTCAGAAGAGCATGATCACTCGCGCCTAATGATCCTTCCACTTCTACCCCACTAACCAGGTCATCAACATTGGTTAGGACCAGATCTAAAATGGCTGTTCCTCTTGTTGCTTCTCCCACTTTCTGGACAATGAAGTTGTCTGCAAGGCCAGTGAGGAATCTGTTTGACTTTATGCTCTTGGCTGAGTTTGACATCCAACAAATATCCGGGTAATTGAAGTCCCCCATTACTACTATCTCCCTTCCTTTTGCATGCTTGGCCATCTGTTCCAGGAAGGCATCATCTATGTCCTCCATTTGGCTTGGGGATCTATAGTAAACTCCCACGATGAGGTCACTGTTATTCTTCTCTCCCTTAATTTTGACCCAAATGCTCTCACTTTGGCTTTGAGGTTCTAAATCTT